AAATATAAGCAAAGTTGTTGGAGGTGGCATGGGGTTAGAGTGTAGTGCTAAAACGCTATTCGTATGTTACATTATAGATAGAGAAACCGATTTTAGACAACTGTTGGAGATGGCCTAACATGTAAAATGCATAATAATGTTGTAATAAGTATGATTTTCGGAAAAACATTGGAAATTGCAGAATTATTTTTGAAAATTAAAAATAGGATCGGATATCGGAATGTACCATATAACCGGAATCAGAATTTTCAAAACTCAAAAAGAAAAATATTCTCCAGAACTCAAAAATTTCAGATCAGAATTGACAGAAATCAGAATTTCCAAACTTTGTAACATAATGCGTGTGAATACCTCAATGTATCCTAATTTCAGTTCTTCGATTTTTGGCATATAATGATTAATGTTTATTTATTTTCTTTTTTAATCAATCTTTTATCAATTAACATAAATAAAAGAAAAAGGGTAAATTACAATCATTCTGGGTCAACGTCAAATTACGAAAACCGCATCATGTTTGGATAATTACAACGACCCTATGAATCTTCTTACACATCCGCTCTTGCAGTGTCTAATTTAGTGGAATCTTCTATCTTATGTGGAATATTCTCGAGTTTGTAACTATTTTACTCCATGTGAACTTCACGTTTTGAAACAAGGTAATCATAGGATGTGTCTCTTGGCTTGTAAATATCAGGTTGTGGTGCATCAAAAACTGCATTTATGCACAAAACAAGTACAAGCTAAAGAATATTCTACAAAATCTAGAAGATTCTATCAAATTTAACACCACAATAATGGACGTGTAAGAATATTCATAGTTAAGGGATTGTTGTAATTACTAAAACAAAAGGATTTTTTATTACCGTTAGAGAAGCGCTTGAAGTCATATTTTGAAGATGTTTCGCAATACACAAAGGTCAAATCGGATTTCATGCAGATAGAGACACAAGAGATGCACGAGAAGTCTCTTTTGCTTGCGCAACGAGATATTTCCAAGGCTGAACTGCAAGAGAGTGAGCACGTTGAGGCGGTGAACAACGTGAAGGCTGAAATTCTTGAAATCACCAAGCAACTAGAAGAGATGAGAAACAAGAAAGAATCAGCAAGTTCATCCCTTGGTAAGGTCGAAGAAGATTTGGCCAAGATGCAGGAGGTTGTGGCTATGAAAAGAGAGAATATTTCTCGTCTTGGGAATACACCATTCTTATCTAACCATGAGGTGGAAGCTTTGGAGAAGATGGAAGCACTACTTCAAGAATCTCGACGGGAGCTAGAAACTTTTGATTTATTCGCTTAGTGCTTTTTTTTTTTTTTTGCCTCATGTCGTTTTACTATCTTTCGATGTAAAAGAACATTCAATCATTTTTATGCAATAGAATTTTCTCTTGCTTCTCATAAGGCCTTATTATCGTCTTGGCATCCCTCTGTCATCATTATGTAGCAAATGATAACTTTGGATAATTACATTGTGCACACTTTTGGATTCGCCTGATTTTACAAATTGGATAACTTAAAAGAAAATTAACCAAACTTGCTTAAGATAAACGCAGTTATAACAAATATTTTTTTTTGGTTTGACTGAACTTAGAATATGAGTCTAAGCTGCCTAAGTACCCTCCTCAAAGGGATCAAGTCATAACGTAGTTCAAGCGAACAACTTAGAACATTTTTTTTTGTTGACCATTTTGTTGACTAGTTCATCCTCAGCCCTTTGATGACCATTTTGTTGACTAGTTCTTCAGCTGCTTTCTATGCTCTGCACCTTCTCTTGTTGTGTAAGTTACGAAGGCGCAGGCTCGTTGGATAACCATTTTAACGGATTCGATTTCGCCGTGGGCGTAGAAGTTGTCTCTCAGGTCTTGCTCGGTGATTCTTGCGTCGAGCCCACCTACGTAGAGGGTTCTTATGCTTTGGTCGTCTGGTGGCTCAAGTGACGGCATTTCTCAAGCCTTTTTTAGAAGCTTCATTGCCACTGGATCGTTACTCTGCACGCTCGTAAAAAGTTAACAGAAAGGTTAGGACACTAAGGCCTCGTTTGGTTAATTTACCACAATACAAACTCATGCACAACTTAGAAAACTCCTTATATTTATCACATAAGGACAACCTTAAGAGATTAAGATCATATTATAAAATCTACGGTAAATTAAGAAAACCCCTGAAGTTAAGCTTTAACGAGAAAAACCCTTACCTATTTGTAATTACCAAAAATCCCCTTAGGTTTGTTTTCGTCTTACACCAACCTTTTACAAAGTGTGACTTTTCACGTTTTTTTTATTAGTGGGAATAGACTTTACACAATTTCAGATATTTTGTTTTATTTATCACCTATTCAACAGAAAGTATAATAGACTGTACACATTTTATGTTAAAAAACTCAATCAACAGTTAATTTAAGGGAAATTTTGATTCTTACAGATATGTGAAAGTGTTTTTCGTTATTTAGCCTAAGTTCAAGGGGTTTTCATAATTTACCTAAAATCTAAATTTTTTACCAAAAACTTATTAGGAAATTATTAATTCTTCCATCTCTACAAAAATCCAAAGACGGTTGGTACTTGGTAGTGATATTAGTTGCCAACTGGACATTCCATATGAAGTATGGTTTATTTGATGTTACACCTAATGAAATATATCGGGTAAATATTAACCGTTGATCAGCATACAATCTCATACACCATCTGTATGTGTGTTTAGTGGAAAATTATTTCACCACGTTAATGATTAATAATTACCCGATGTATTTCACTAGGTGTAGCATCTCAAAAACGTATCAAGGGTTTGTTTGATGCTACACCCAATGAAATACACCGAGTAATTATTAACCTTTGATTTGTATCAGGAAATACATCGGGTGATTATTAGACACTACTGATAATGTTAAAAATGTGTAAGAGTTTCTCACTGAATCATGAAAACTATCTAAAAAGACAAACTTCAAAGTAAATTGTTGTCGGAAGTCACCAATTTTTTGGGATTTCTATGAACTTCTGAAAAAAGCTCCCCATCGTACTTAATAGAAAGTACTTAGAACGTATACGCAATGCTCTATAGAGTCATTTCCAACTGTTGGATTAAATCAATTCTCACCATTCATTAGGAAGGGGGGAAAATATAAATGGGAGTACAATTTCATTTGATAACAAACAGAACAAAATAATTTCATTCAAAAAGGAAAATTCAGCCTGCACAAACAAATAGTGACAGTATAAACATACATAAAAATTGGACAATAAGTGACTACAAGGGTATACATGAAAGAAAATTATGAAGAACAAATTAAACACAGAAAAAAAAATTAGGGAAGAAGAGAGTACTAAAATTATGATGTGAATTGTCTCGGCTGATGTGTATATATAGAGATACACACATGACACGTGTGCGGTGTGTGCAATAAAATTCTTTCCTTTTTTGAAAACAATTCTTAATATAATTACATTCATTATGCTACACATTGACCCCAGATTTAAACAAATATATCACATTAACTCACAAAATATTTTCTTTTCAGAAAATAATTTTTTTCTTAATTTTTTTCCGGCCAGATTCCGACGTTGAATTTTTTTTTTTTCTGAAAACGTTTTCTTTTTCCAGCCGGTCACCCATTGTTGTTATTCAATCTGAAGAAAACTATGAAGAACGAATTAAACACAGAAAAAGAAAAAAAATTAAGGAAGAAGATATGATGTGAATTGTGTGAATTGTGATGTGAATTGTGTGGGCTGATGTGTATATATAGAGATCTAGCTGTGAGTTGCACACCCTTGATTATAAATAAATAGTACTGTTAAACATAATTGCAAGTTTGTTGAGGTGGTAAAGTTATGCCTCCTTTTTAAATAGGTCCCGGGTTCTAATCCCTACCCACGCAATAAACCATCAAAATTTCATTAATTTAGCGAAATATTAACTTATTGATAAATTAATAATCATTAATTTATACATTAATTAATAACTTATTAATTTATGAAATTACTTTTATTATTATTTTCAATAAATACATTTTTTTTTTAAATTACGTGTATATTATTCATGGTACCATTAGTTCAATGCACTATAGAGCCCGTTTCACGAGCGGAAGCTCTTAAAGCAGCAATGATATAGAACGATTTTATGTTGAGTTGTGAGAAAACTATACCGAAAGTTCTAACCATGTTAAGAAAAGTGAGGGACGAGATTGATGGTAATGTGAACTTCAACTAGAAACAAACGACAATTAAATTATATATTATTAAGATTTCATAGATCTACAAATTAAATATGTACTGTACCATGTAATTTAAGAATTATTTTTATGCATTATTAATTTATATATTATATGGGGTTTCTTAAATTTTCAAATGTGTATTATCTTATGAATTTAGCGAATTATTAATTTAGCACGTTGTCCCTGAGTCGGGACCGGGAACATTTATTATTTAAGCGAGGTTATTAATTTATCGCGTATTAATATATCGAGATTCTACTGTAATTCCAATTTCGTTCCAGAAAAAAATTGAAAATTGGAATTTTAAAGAAATGAAAAAAAAAATCTTCCAAAATCGGAAAATTTGGATCTAAATCTGGAAAAATCCATTTTTTAATCACCCAAGAGCATTTCCAAGAATGCTATGCAAACGTATATTTTATATTTTATAAACAACCAAATTGTAATTTAGCGCATCAAGAATACATTAAAATAATATTATATTGTACTTAATAATATAAGTATTATTAAAAAATATTTTATATTGTCTTACTTTTTTTGCAAATAAATGTACTAAAGTTGATATTTTATTATTTTACTTAGTATTAATAATAACTGAAATTAAACAATTACTTATGATATCATTTTATGAATTATAAAATTTTAATAATTATTAACGTATATCAATTAAGTTATTGAAATTTTTTTATACCAAATTTATCAATTAGGGCGAATGGCAAAAAGGCACATCACATGGGACTTAAATGCATTTTGGTCAAAAAGAAAAAAAGTCTCTTAATTAAACTAATCCCCATGTCTTTAGTCTAAAATACCCTCTATAATATAATTCTTATCAATTCCATCCATTATGCTCTGACTTCTTTAATATTATACAATGACCTCAGGTTTAAACAAATATATCACATTAACCCCCAAATTTTTTTTCAGAAAATAATTTTTTTTCCGGCCAGATTCCGCCGGAGACCGCCGGTGTCTGGCGTTGAATTTTTTTTTTCTTTTGAAAACTATTTTTTTCGTGATTTTGTTTTTCCGGCCTGTCAACCACCGTTGACCGCCGGTCTCCGGCGTTGACTTTTTTCTTTTTCTTAGAAAAAAAAATATTTTAATTAATATTACTATCTTGGCTACTAAATTACTGTCTAAGACAGTAATGTTACTGTTTGGGACAGTAATATTATGAATATTATTTTCCCGAACAGTAATATTATTGTCTAAGACAGTTAAATTACTGTTGGATACAGTAATTTAGCAGCCAAGGCAGTAATATAAATTAAAATAATATTTTTTAAGAAAAAAAAAAGGTTAATTAACAGTTCAATTACTGTCTCCGACTGTTAAAAAATTGCTGGAGACAGTAATTTAGCAACAAATATAGTAATATTAATTAAAATATTTTTAAAAAAAGTCAATTGACAGTTAAATAATTGCTCGAGACAGTAATTTAGCAACGAATACAGTAACATTAATTAAAAATATTTTTTTTAAGAATAAAAAAGTCAATTAACAGTTAAATTAATGTCTCCGACAGTTAAATAACTGTTGGAGACAGTAATTTAGCAACGAATACAGTAATATTAATTAAAATATTTTTGAAGAAAAAAAAAAGTAAATTTACAATTGAATTATTGTGTCCGACAGTTAAATATCTACCGGATACAATAATTTAGCAGACAAGACAGTAATATTAATTAAAATATATATTTTAAGATAAAACAAAATTATAAAAAAAAAAAAAGAAAAAAAAAAGTCAACGTCGGAGACCCGGCGGTCAACGGCAGTTGGCCGGTTGGAAAAAAAATTTCAGGGAAAAAAAAGTCAACGGCGGCTGACCGGCGGTCTCCGGTGGTGGGTCAAAATTGGGGTCAAAATTGGTTAATTGATGAAATTGAGCTAAATTGTGGTGTAAATCATGAAATTGGAGTTGAATTGGGTTTCAATGAATTGGTCGTGTTTTGGTATATATACATATGAAAGGATTTTCCTTATTTGCAAATAAGTTTGAATGAGCTGAATTTATTTTAAAGACAAAATAGTTGGATGTCCCTCTTTTAATTAAGTGTCATTGTCATGAACCTTTTTGTGATTTACCCTAACTAGAATTAAACAATTACTTATGATATCATTTTACGAATTGTTAAATTTTAATATTTATTAACATATATCAATTAAGTTATTGAAATTGATTATACCAAATATAAAATTAATTCTGTAGACTGTTAATTAGTATTAAATGTCAGTTGTATATGAACTAAAATAAATTTTAAAATAGTTTTCAGAATTAAAAAATATTACAGATTCAAAATAATAATATATTGTTTAGAATAATACACATTTTTATTAATATTTTATAATAATTGAAATATCATTTAGAAATTATTTAATAATAATTGTAAAAAATATAATCAAAGTTGTTGGAGGTGTACAGGGCTAAAAGTGGAGGGCTAAAACGCTGTTCGTATGTTACATTATAGATAAAGACAACTGATTTTAGATAAACTGTTGGAGATGGCCTAACATGTAAAATGCATAATAATGTTGTAATAAGTATAATTTTCGGAAAAACATTGATAATTTCAGAATTATTTTTGAAAATTAAAAATAGGATCGGATATCGGAATGTGCCATATAACCGGAATCAGAATTTTCAAATCTCAAAAAGAAAAATATTCTCCAGAACTCATAAATTTGAGATCAGAATCGAGAGAAATCATAATTTCCAAACTTTGTAACATAATGCGTGTGAATACCTCAATATATCCTAATTTCAATTCTTCGATTTTTGGCATATAATGATTAATGTTTATTTATTTTCTTTTTTAATCAATCTCCTATCGACTAACATAAATGAAAGAAAAGGGTAAATTACAGTCATCCCTTAGTCAAAGTTAAATTACGAAAAACTCCTCAACTATGAATTTTCTTACGCATCCATCCTTGCAGTGTCAAATTTAGTGAAATCTTCTAGATCATGTGGAATATTCTCAAGTTTGTATCCATTTTACCCTATGTTAACTTCATGTTTTGAAACAAGATGATCATAAGATATATCTCTTAGCTTGTAAATATCAGATTGTAGTGATCATAAATTACAATTTTGCACGAAACGAATACAAACTAAAGAACATTCCACAAAATCTAGAAGATTCTGTGGAATTTGACACCAAAAGAGTGGACGTAAGGAATTGTTGTAATTGAATTTTTTTCATAATCTGATCGTACCAATCGTTAGCCGTAATTTACCAAGAAATCCAAAAAACAAAACTAGCACTGGTCAAGTGGGTCACAAATTGGAACCAAAATCCAGAATTTGATTCTCCAAACACATCACAAATAGTTAAAATCTAACAAAATAGAAGTTATATGACAGTTTACACATAACATAAAATTGAACAACAAAGTACTTTCTTTTTTAATAAACATTCTTCATTAATTAAAGAAGCAACAAAACTAAGGCTGCGGTGGATCACCGCCAGCAGGCGGTGGAGGGGGAGGAGGAGCCATCCGACCCTGATAAGGCTGAGGAGGTGGGTACTGTTGAGGGGGAGGCGGCTGCATATATCCATACTGCGGATAGTAAGGAGGTGGATAAAATTGACCAGCCTGAGGGGGTGGAGGGGGTGGCGGCCCCCCCGAAGAAGATCCAGCCCCCTCTTGACCCGAAATTACAGCCCCCATCCTCTGTGGGTCCATCGAAGGGTAGTAGGCCCTCTCTTGCTGACTGGGCAACGGAGGGATATTGAAGTAGGCCATTGGAGGGGGTGGATTCTGTGTAGGGGGGCCGCTTTGCTGATTTGACACAATTGCCCTCGGCAATAACCCACTGTGAGTCACCTTTGAAGCTTCATCCAAGCCTCCTTCGGATTCCAGCCTCGGGACCTGTGGTCTGCCCCAGAGCAGCTTCAGCCTCAGCCCTTTGATGACCATTTTGTTGACTAGCTCTTCGGCTGCTTTCTCAGCACCTTCTCTTGTTGTGTAAGTTACAAAGGCACAGGCTCGTTGGATAACCATTTTAACGGATTCGATTTCGCCGTGGGCGTAGAAGTTGTCTCTCAGGTCTTGCTCGGTGATTCTTGCGTCGAGCCCGCCTACGTAGAGGGTTCTTATGCTTTGGTCGTCTGGTGGCTCAAGTGATGGCATTTCTCCAGCCTTGTATAGTAGCTTCATTGCCACTGGATCGTTCACTCTGCACGTGCATAAAAGGTTAACAGAAAGGTTAGGACACTAAGCAGATCAAATAGGCGATGAATATTGTATGTTCATCGGGGGGTCAAAGCAATGAGGCAGAGGATTGACAAACATGCCGTGCAATAAGTCGAAAGCAACAGAAAAAAGAATCAATTTTTTTAAATTATCTCCAAATTTTAACAACCACATGCTAATCTTGATTATCTCAAAATATTCTCAGTCGCATAGCAAAAATAATAGACTCGGTCATAATTTTAATTTACATACAGTTGAGAACAAATAATGCATTCAGAAGGCAGATCAAAGCCAACAATTACTAAATCTTTTCATTTTTTCAGCGCTCACATAATAGAACGAACATATTTTACCACAGAAGAGTTCATATATATATATCACACTAACAAATGTTTCGACACGGAAAATAGTTTACTAACAACATACCCATAGTAGCGGTCTTTAATATTTTGCTGAGACAATTCACCTTCAACGGGCATCTCGTGCCTGTAAGGGCACTCCGGGCCTCTCGTACACTGTCCGCGAACAAAGAAACTGCAGACGTGTGCTCGGTTTCTCTTGTAGTACGGTGTGGTTCTCTGGAGCTTCAAAATAGTATCATTTGCGCGTACCTTCCCATACGAAGATTCATAATCTATTCCAGCTCTTGCCTGCATATAATAACAAGTTTTTATTAGCTCAATTTTAATAGGCCTTCTGCTTTTCTTCGTATTTTATATTCACTCAATTTTAATTTCTTTGCATAGGCGCAGATAGCAATCCTCGTCTCTAGAATCTCTATCAGAGGTTGGTTATCCACATCAGAGCCGTTGTGACTCACAAACAACAACGTGAAAATCAGCCTTCTTGAAGGCCGACGACTCAAATCAGGGTCAACTCTATGTAAAAAACATGGTTTCTGGACTACATAGTGATTTTAAGGGTGGTTGAATTAGCAACGAACTGTTAAAAGAGCCACAACAGTTGGTATACTGCATACCTAATCACAAACAACCAAGAACAAAGATGCTACAAATTTGTAAATTAGTTACTGTTCGGTTTGCAAACTATCGATACAGGTAGTAGAAGTAAATAGAAAAAGTGAAATTGATTTCATAAACTTTCATTAGTATATAACAAACTTCAATAAAGTGTTTCGAAAGTAAGTAAAAGAAATTACTGATCTTAATAGCTCTCAGTTACAAGGAAACATACCCTGCGATCATGCTCCTCCGCAAAGTATTCCCGATTGACATCGCTCTTTGGAATGGCATCGTTGGAATTGATACTCAGAGCAGTATCTCGAACCTGAACAGGCAGCCCGTATTCGAGATCCAAAAGGCAAACTTGACAGACATTTTTCAGCTTACTGCAGGTTTGGCAAATCTCCGACTTCTTGTACCTAGCATCGCGACCGGGCCTCCACCTGAACACAGTGAAGGGCCGAGTGCAGATCTTGCATTCCTTGTCATAATCAGCTTTCGTCTGCACCAAAATAAATATATCAGTACGTTCTAAGACGAAACATTGCTGAAATAACGATTTATTTTAAGAAAAAAAACATCGTTATAGGTGTAATGAAATTGAAAACTGAGAAAGCCACCAATTATATTAGTGGCTTCAAATACACGAACGAAATTGAACAGTATAATAGTGGCTTCAAATCCTTTCGGAAATAAATTGCTACAGCTCTCCCGTTCTTCGCAATAAACTATAGAACCCAAAAATAATGCCAAAATTTTGCAATACATGCATTCTACCTCAGATCCTACTTTGCAACAAAGACGACTATTGCCCAATCATTATTCAAGCAAGCTTCAACTTTACGGGGAGTAACAATTTCGTAAATAAGTTCATAATTCTGTAATATTAATATTCCAAAATATTACCACTAATCCACCTAAAAACAGTAGCAACTAATTGAAGCCCTAGAATTAAAAAAAAAAATTGAAAAAAAAAATGAATCGGAAAATACCATTCGAACATATGGATTATCGCCAAGACAAGACTCGCATATAATTGGGAAATCAGCTCGCTCCCACCCATCTGCTTCTGCGTCCCTCAACAGCCGATGTGCCATTATCGACTAAACTTTTCTGTACCCTAAAATTTCGAAACTAAAAGAAAAATTAGAACAAAGAAGAAAGGCCAATACAGAAACCCTAATTCGTAATTGATCGTCAAATCAAACAGTAGCTTGTGGATCGAAAATTTACAGGCAGGTGAAGATTACGACGGCGGCTGCGGCTGCGGCGGTGCGAGGATACGACGGCGGAAGAGAAGATTTTTTAAGAAAAAACAGCGAGAGATGTACAAATCTCAACCCGTAAGAGGGATATAGGGTGCCTCGTTTGGATTTTATAACGAGAATTACACTTTTAGTCCCTCATTTTCATCGAATTCCACCTTTGGCCCCTATTGTTCTAGAGTGAACAAAATGCACGCCAAAAGTTCGACTCCAAATACTTTTCGTCCAATCCGTCATATGATTGTTAAAATTGAAATTTAATAATATTTTGGGGCTATAAGACAATTAGAAATTTAAAGTACTATTTATAATTAATATTTTTGTAATATTATGCATAAATAAAAAAGAAAGAAATCGATTATTTGAGTGAATTGCATTTACTATCCCTGTTAAATTCGCAACTGCACGATTTCCCCTGTCATAATTTTTTTTAGCAAATACCCCCCTATGCTTACTTTTAAAATGCACAGTCGACCCATTTACTTTTTTCCCCTTGACCCGCTGTAGTAAGACCAAAATACCCCGAGTAGTTTTGTTATATTACACGTTGGTAATTTTTCCATTATATTTAATAAAATCTTAATTTTTATTTCTATTTTAAACATACACAAAAATATTATTAAATATAAATATATAAAAAGAAAAAGAAGGTCATCTCCCCTCTCTCTTCTCGTCCTTCCTAAGCTAATCCTTGCAATTCTTCAGGTCCAGAAATTTTAGAGACGAAGAAGAGAAGACGAGGAAAGAAATTAGGGGATAGGGTTTGATTTTAATTAAGTTCTGAAAAATTGCAATTTAACCCCTGCATTTGTTTTAAAAATTCAATTTAGTTCTCTACCTTTAAAAATTATATGTTTAAGAGCTGGATTTTTTTATTGCAAAAAACCACGGGTTATTATTGTCCTTTCGTAAGCAAAAGGGAAGAAAAAATCGCAAACGCGGCGAGTGAGCCGCACGATCAGCTCCAAGGGGGCTTTTCGCCTTTGACTAATAAACATATGAGGGTATTTGCTAATTTTTTTATGACAGGGGGAATCGTGCAGTTGTGAATTTCACAGGAGTAGTAAATGCAATTCACTCCGAATAAATTTTTTTTTCCAAAATCAAAATGCAAAAAAATATATCAAATGTAAATGCATTAGAAAAAAAATTGAATAATATTTTAATTTTAACAAACAAAATGCAAAACATATAGATATAATACATTAGAAAACAAAAAAAAAAGTTTGCGCATCCATCGTCTTCGTTTTGATCTCTCACAACTTAGATACCACCCACCACCACCACAACCAGTGGCGGAGCCAGGATTTGCTGTGAGGGTGGGCTAAAATTTTACGGGGTTCTAAAGTAGAGCCCCTGAATTTTTTTAAGAATTTTTTAAAAAAATATAGAGCAAAATAAATAGAAATTTGTATATTTTAATTAAATTATATATCTTAAATTGTACATTGCCCAAAATATAATTATTAGAGCTCTTTAAACTATATTACAAATATGTTGGGTGGGCTAATTAAAATAGATTATGATTAAAATAGTATATAAAAATAATAACTAAACCTAATTAGCATTAAAATATTCTATAAAAAAAATAAACCAGGGTGGGCTGAAGCCCACCCACCCTTCAACGTGGCTCCGCCACTGACCACAACCATATTCATTCCGCCTTCTCGCGTTTTGTAGTTCCAAATTATTGTTAGAATCATGTTGGGTTTCTAATTACTCGAGTGCTAGTGAATAAAGGAAAATTGTCAAGTCGGAACTACTCAATCGAATGAGGATTAAGTATTAAATCATCGTTTTGTGGTGTATGTTGAGAAATATATAATTATAATGTTAAGATTAGTAAAGTGATGAATGTTGCTCAAGAAATAGAAGCATGTCGAAAAAAAATCTAAACTTTATATTCGTCTATAAGAAATGTAAAATTTATTTTCTTGTACATTTTTCTCCTATTTATTAACATTAAATTTCGAAAAACCTTGAATAATAAATCACGGATTCGTCCCTGAATGCAATGAATCTTTTTAGGGAACGTATAGAGTCCAATATGTCTAAACTTCTCGGACCATTATCTTCCAATAGAAATGTGGCGTGTATAGTATGGATCCAGGGACCCCCAATTTCTTTTAAGTCCTTATTATTTTATATGGTCGTCCTACAATTAGTCATGGATCCGCCGTATCCCATCTGAATTTTTTGCCCAATTTCTCTTTACAAATAAGAATCCTAAAAACAGAACAATTTTGTTGTAATTGTTCGCCATCGTCTTCAAATCGCCAAAATATTCCCCGCATGTGATTATATGTATCAAAAAAATAGGTTTGGGTGTGTATGTGCAATTTTTTTTAGTTAAGGTGGCAAATGGCCAAAAATAGGCAAAGTATAGGTGGCAAAATCCTATTAACCCAAAAAATTATACTCATCTATACTTTAGAAAGTAAGTGAATAAAATAAAAATACAACTTATCAAGATCCTTAAAAATTATATATATTTTTTTATCAGAAAAACTATTTTACAAAAGAAAATAAATTATTTCATCTATTTTCACCAAGCAATGAAAGATTCACTAATCGAATGGTTTAGTGAGAAAAAAAATGTTTTTTTTTTTATTTCTGTGAAAATATTGTTTCGAAGCAACTAATGTAATTTTTTTTCTGCACTTTGTATGCTTGAAATTAGACTGGGGAGTAGAAAAAAATAACTTAATTCATTATTTTGCTCCCTAAAAAAAGGCGATAAAAATAAAATTGCACTCATTAAATTTTAAAATTCAATTTTTTTTTATTAAAAATTTGAGGTACACTATTGTGAATGATTTATTGTGTTTATAAATACAAAGTATTATTAATAAGGGTAGATTACAAGCACCCTCCTGAGGTATAGTTAAATTACGAAAAAACACTTCATTTTTAGATAATTACAACTACCTCTCAACTATGAATCTTCTTACACGTCCACCCTTATGGTGTCAAATTCAGCACAATCTTCTAGATTCCATGAATGTTCTCTACTTTGTACTCATTTTATGCAAAAATGCAGTTTCTGTTGCACCACAATCTGATATGTACAAGGCAAAAAACACATCTTATGATCATTGCTTCAAAATGTGGAGCTTGAATAGGATAAAACCGATACAAAATTGAGAATATTCTATATAATCTAGAAGATTCTACTATATTTGACACCGCAAGGATAAACGTGTAAGAAGACTCAAAGTTGAGGGATGACTGTAATTATCCAAATATGATGGGTTTTTTCGTAATTTGACCAGGTTGTAATTTACCCTATTAATAATTTAATTATTTTGAGGGTGAAAGTGGCAAAATACGATGCAAAGTGGGATCAAGTAGGAAAACTGTTTCCTTTAAATCCCACTATTTAAGGGAGTTATTTTGAATGATTCTTGCAAGTTGCATCAATTGGAAGAAAAGGATTTTGCAGTTCGCAGGTAGAAAAGTATTTTCTTCCGCCGCTGCGATAACAGGTACGAATTTAGGGCTCTAATACTGTTTAATTTGTGATTTTAGACAACTACGAATGTAGGGTTTTTATTTTCATGCCAAAATTATGCCCAATTCTTGCTCTAATTCTGCTGTTTTATTTGTGATTTTAGACAACTACTTTTTATTGTCAGGCCGAAATTTTGTCCAATTCTTGTTCTAATTCTGTTCAACTTGTGATTTTAGACAACTACACATTTAGGGTTTTTAGTGTTATTAGGTGATTAAGTGACGAAGAAATTATTATTAATTTTTTTTTTCCAGAAAGATTCCGTCTTAGAACGCACTGATCGATATATTTGATTTTGGTGCAGACGAAAGCTGATTACGACAAGGAATGCAAGATCTGCACTCGGCCCTTCACCGTGTTCAAGTGGAGGCCCGTTCGCGACGCTAGATACAAGAAGTCGGAGATTTGCCAAACCTGCAGTAAGCTGAAGAATGTCTGTCAAGTTTGCCTTTTGGATCTCGAATACGGGCTGCCCGTTCAGGTTCGAGATACTGCTCTGAGTATCGCTTCCAACGATGCCATTCCAAAGAGCGACGTCAATCGGGAATACTTTGCGGAGGAGCATGATCGCAGGGTATGTTGTTTATCTCTAACCGAGAGCAATCTGTCGACTTTTTTTTTTTTACCCATTTTTTTTCCGATTAAATACTTGTTATTATGTGCAGGCAAGAGCTGGAATAGATTACGAATCTTCGTACGGAAAAGTGCGCGCAAACGATACTATCTTGAAGCTACAGAGAACCGCACCGTACTACAAGAGAAACCGAGCACACGTCTGCAGTTTCTTTGTTCGCGGACAGTGTACGAAAGGCCCGGAGTGCCCTTACAGGCACGAAATGCCTGTTGAAGGTGAATTGTCGCATCAAAATATCAAAGACCGCTACTACGGGTACGTTTGGAAATTATTAATAAATATGTTTATTATATTATGTGAATGCCGAAAAAGAAATAAAAAAGATCGATAACTGTCGGCTTCGATCAGTCTTCCTAACTTCTGTTTTTTGAAATATCGACGCACGTGCAGAGTGAACGATCCATTGGCAATGAAGCTACTGAACAAGGCTGGAGAAATGCCGTCTCTTTTGCCACCAGACGACCAGAGCATAAGAACCCTCTACGTAGGCGGGCTCGACGCAAGAATAACCGAGCAAGACCTGAGAGACAACTTTTACGCCCACGGAGAAATCGAGTCCGTAAAACTGGTTATCCAACGAGCATGTGCTTTCGTAACTTACACGACAAGAGAAGGTGCAGAGAAGGCAGCCGAAGAACTAGTCAACAGACTCGTAATCAAAGGCCTGAGGCTGAAGCTGCTCTGGGGCAGACCACAGGTCCCGAAGCTAGCATCCGAAGGCTCGGACGAAGCTCCGAAGCAGCAAGCTATGCAGAATCCACCGCCTCCGGTGCCGTACTTCGATATTCCATTGCCAACGGCGTATTATCCTTCCATGGATCCACAAAGAATGGGGGCTGGTGCTGGATCTTTTATTTTTTGAATATTCACTTTTAAGCTAAATTTTTGTACCATATCAAGTAGTAAGATCAAATTTATATGGATTTTTTTTTTCATCTTTTCCAATGAAATTATAAACGAATCAAATAAATAATTAACATAATACATTCGAGACGTATTCTACACCAACATGCTAGAGGTAACTAAAATTAATGTAATCGAATACTGATGCGGTATTGTACATCCAAAATATTTCTTGTTACAGTAAAATCAAACATTATCGAGTAGTTAATCTGCAAAAAAAATCGTGTTTCGCGTCAAATCAGTGCTACAGAGTACTCAAACAACATTCATGCAAAAAAATCGTGTTTCGCGTCAAATCAGTGCTACAGAGTACTCAAACAACATTCATGCAAAAAAATCGTGTTTCGCGTCAAATCAGTGCTACAGAGTACTCAAACAACATTCATATAAACGCGAATGAAAAAGAATGTCTACATTAATGTACCTTAGCTTAAAAACGACAACACCGAATATCAAAAAAAAAAAAAAAAAAAAAAAAAACAACCCCATATTAATTATTAATATACTAGTGCATAAAAAGTATGTACACACATAAATAAGACATATCACGTCAAATAAAATAACAAAACAAACATTGTTTAAAATATATATTTTCATATTTGCTGAAATACTTTTTTGTACACGATTTCTATAGTAACATAAATTATTATTATTATTTTTATTATTATTGTTGTTGTTATTGTTATTATACTAAAATCATAACAACTTGTAATTCTTTTATCAAAACAACTATCAAACCCTAATGATTTTGGTAACGGATTTTAATCAGGACCAATACCGATAGATAAATAGCGGATCGGATTTTTTTTGCCAGCCATGGTAAAGTGAAAAAACACATAAAATTGTAATTTATGACAGAGTGTAACTGCAAAGTAATTTCAAAGAGAGGAACCTCTTTTTACAATTTAAAGGGGTGAAAATGCAAAAAGTAAATATTTATAAGGGTCGAAGTGCATTTTGTCCTAAACACTAATCGAAGGAGATCCAAAGTAAGAATCAAAGCTCCATTGCTCTTAGATTCTTCAACAATGTCTCTTTCTCTGTGCTTCGCCCCATCAACCCGCCACCCCAAACAAACCCGACCCATTTTCCAACTCCACAAACCCTCAAACCCCATTAAAATCTCCGCCACACCACGGATCAATAATCATCACGCAAGATTCAAAATTTGTTGCGTGAATCCCAAATTCGAAGATTCGGATGCAGTGGGGCCCGCCGATTCCGATAGGCCGAGATGGGAGAATTGGTTGGCCGGTGCGGCGAGTTTGTACCCTGTTTATGTGACCGTTGGAGGGGTGGTTTCTTTCTTGAGACCCGCCACTTTTTCTTGGTTCTACAATTCGGGTCGGGTTTCGTATAGCTTCGGACTCGGGTTTATAATGCTGGCTATGGGGATTACTTTGGAGCTCCGAGAGTTGATCGCTCTGTTCAAGCAGAGGCCTCTTTCTGTGAGCTTCCCCAATCAATTTAACTCCACATTTAATTTAATTTTGAATCTTGAAATATTTGTTGTTTATTTTCGCAATCGGTAATGGATGTTAGATGAGGTTTATAGATTATATTTGCAACCTTCGAGCTGTATATTGTTGTGATCGAACATTTACGAAAAATTAGGGGAGTCGTTGTTCTCGATAATTTCTAAACATTATATGAACTTATTAGTGTCGGTTTCGGTTTCAAACTTTCAATTAATGGATATTAGATGAGATTTATAACTTTTGAGCTGTGTATTGTTGTGATGGAGGTTAACGAACATTTACGAAAAATTAGGGGAGTCACTTTTCTCGTTAGTTTCGAACCATTATGCGAACTTATAAGTGTCGGTTTCGGTTTCGGTTTCGGTTTTGGTTTGAATAATGGATATTAGATGAGATTTATAGATGATATTTACAACTTTCGAGCTGTATATTGTTGCGATCGAGGTTAACGAACATTTACGAAAAATAAGAAAAGATTAGGGGAGTCGCTTTTCTCGAATTTATCCGTCGTTTTTCCCGTTAATTTCGAACCATTATGTGAACTTGTAAGTGTCGGTTTCGGTTTCAGTAATGGATATTAGATGAGATTTCCAACTTTCAAGCTATGTATTGTTGCGATCAAGGTTAACGAACATTTACGGAAAATTAGAAAAAAAATTAGGGGAGCAGCTAGTATATAATTTCTCCGTCGCTTTTCTCGTTGATTTCGAACCATTATGTGAACTTATAAGCGTCGGTTTCCGTTTCGGTTTCAGTAATGTATATTAGATGAGATTTACAACTCTCAAGCTGTATATTGTCGTGATCGAGGTTAACTAACATTTACGAAAAATTTGAAAAAATTACGGGAGCAGCTAGTAAATTATTTCTCGCTTTTTAATTTCGAACCATTATTCTGCATTGACATATGAAGTTTCGTCGATTATTTTATTCCCAATTTACTTTGAAATATCAGATATTTTACGGGTGTGCTGCTCAATACACCATTATGCCTTGTTTGGGGGTAATAATTAGCAAATTATTGGGGCTGTCACCTTCGCTTACAGTAGGTTTGATACTGCTCTCGTGTTGTCCAGGTGGCACGGCATCCAACGTGGTACGACCAATTCCACATTACATAGTTCTTTACGAGAACTTTTCTTTAAACTACTCTATGTTACTTGTGGTTTAGTTTCGATTCATATTCAATATGATATTGATCAATATTCACAAATTTTTCCGTTTCTTTCCCTTTTTGTCTGAAAATAGTGTTACAGGTAACTTTAATTGCTCAAGGAGATGTTCCTTTGTCGATTGTAATGACTGTATGCACTACGCTTGGAGCAGTTATTCTTACCCCTCTTTTGAGTAAGATTCTGGTCGGAACGTATGTTCCCGTAAACGCTCTAAGCCTATCCGTGAGCACCTTGCAGGTTAACGTTAACTCTCTCTCTCCCCCCCCCCCCCTCTCTCTCTCTCTCTCTCTCTCTCTCTCTCTCTCTCTCTCTCTCTCTCTCTCTCTCTCTCATAAACCTCTATCTCTCTCTTATTTATTTAAAATGGTTGTTATCTCTCTGTATAGGTGGTAGTTGCTCCGATTCTGCTCGGTTCTTATCTGCAGAGCAGATTTCCTAAAGCGGTAAAACTAGTGACTCCTTTCGCACCACTCGCAGCTGTTTTATCTGCCTCGTTGCTTGCTTGCAGGTCCTAATATTGCCATTCATTTATTTTATTAACTTATTGAAAACTGTAACATTGTTTATTCTAAAACTTGCCGCCTTATTTGTTTATTTCAGCATATTCTCGGAAAACGTGATTCGTCTGAAGTCTTCCGCACTTAGTGCATCATTATCATCCGATCTATCTCCGATTCTTCGTGCTCAAGCAATACTCAAAAGTGAACTCGGCGGTGTTGTACTTTCTGTCTTTTTGCTACATTTCGCAGGTTTCTTTGTCGGGTAAGATTTTTCGTTCTCTTCTGTTGTTTTGCAGTTGAATTAGTATTCTCTAATAATATTAATCAAAATAGCAATAGTGGAGATCGAAACTCACGAGTGTAAATTGGTGAAGTTGACTTTACCTAATCGAGATTTTATCGAATTTACGTCCTTGTACGTTGGTTTAACATGTTTTACTAATTATCCTTTTTTTTGTGACGAACCATCTTATTCGATTAACGAACGAGCTTAATTACATTGAAGTAAAATAAAGTGCTTCGATTTTTCCCATGCAGGTATTTATCCGCAGCTTTCGGTGGATTTAAGGAGCCACAGCGGCGTGCAATATCAATCGAAGTAAGTTAGATCGACCACTCTAATAAAATAATATTGCCTCATCTATATATACATTCATCGAAATTTTACGATTTTATTACCAAAGTCGGTCTTAATAACAATCGGAGTATCTAGACATGCATGATTTTTTTTATTTTTTATTTCGATTTGATAATTATACTAAAAATGAAATCATAATTTAAATACTTGCCCCTTCGTTTTTTTTACAGGTGGGCATGCAAAATTCATCTTTAGGAGTGGTTTTAGCTACATCGCATTTCACCTCGCCGTTGGTTGCGCTACCTTCTGCCATGTCAGCAGTAGTTATGAATATAATGGGCAGCAGTTTAGGTTTCTTTTGGAGGTACGTTAACCCTTCTGAATCGAAGGATTGTCCTAAAGTTGCGCAAGAGTGACGACAACGACGACAGTGTGTAATAATACATTACTACAGCAACCGAACAAAGAACTGTTGTGAAAGAAACGAAAAATGACACCAAGTGTTAGATTAGGCGATGAGAGGGTTGAACTTATTTGAGAACAATGTGGATTATAATCATTTTTCTTCGGGTTTTTTTTTCGAGATTCTGGCATGGCTCGAAGAAACGGTTTCGAAACATAGTCGTTTCTTTCGATGTGGGATTGCTTTCATTTCTTTGTTTTTTTCTTCTTGAAACATATGCTTTTGGTATTATAATTTAAAGTAATTTATATAAAGCATCTTATAAATTCTTACATCTGATAGTACGTATTAGAAGCTAGTTTGATGCTAGTTTTGTTATTTTCATACTCATCTATTCCAACCACAAGATTTAATTGGATTATCAAATTTTAAATAAAAAAGTAAATCTATTTGAAATTGACACGTGTCAATTCATGATAGGTTATTTAGGTACTTTATTTTTTTTATCTCTTTTCGCACTGCATATCCTGAAATTGAATATCAAATTTACTACCGCTTTTATTCCTCCATTAGAAATGAAAATTTGAGTTTTTGGAGCATCAAAATGAAATATTTTACAATTTAATACCCCATTTAATTTCTCCATTTTGACTTGCTCTTAGATCTTAATAAAACTATCATTTTTAATATATATATTGGAGAAATAATATTTTGGGCACATTTAGGTTGTTGAAATAGTGCCTTTTGGCACTATACATGTTTGAAAAACAATAATAGCACTTTATTTTTTCGAGATCAAAAAAATAGTTTCGAGATCAAAATGGTGTGATTTTTATTTTTTTCGAGCGCATAAAGTGCGAAAAAATAAAAATCACACGGGATAATTGAAAAAAAAAATGTAACTTTTATCTGTAAACTATTCGATTGATAGATCTTTTATTGTAATTAGTGAAAATATTAGATAGAAATATTTGGAAGACAATATGATTTTCCAGATAACTTGATAACGAAATAGTTGAAGATTTTCTTTTTCGTAAAATATATTTTTGTGATAAAAATATATAATTTTTATATACCACTAAAAAGTAAAAATATTAAATTACCTTTATTAGCTTTAAAATTCATGTGAGGTGCATTATGCATGATATATTGCGTTTTGGTGGTACAAAGTGCTATTAATTTGTTTTGAGGGTGCAAAATGCCAAAATAATATATTTCAAGGGTGCAAAGTAGGATTAAGCCGCGCATTTAGTATAGTTATATTACATAATAAATAAAAAAAAAAAAACGTACTCTCTATGTCCCATAATAACTGTCTATTTTTAAAAATATTTTATTTCATATTATATTATCTGTCACTTTAGATTTCCAATAGTACATTCATTACTTAATTTCTAGTTAATAATCATGTTAACTGTTTTTAATACTCTTTTTTAATCAATTTCTCTCTCTTATTATTTATATATCAATTTAGTCTAAAAGCATACATCAAAACTAAAAACGACTATTGAAATGGAACGGAGGGAGTAATTAATAGTCGACCTAACTTTAGGAAAAAACTTAATACACTAACCCCTTTATAAATTACTCCCTAGTCCCTAACATATTGCAAATTGGTATTCCACCTTTGACTTTGGAGAAAGCCAATTTACAAAATTATAAACCAACCCCCGCCGTCTTGCCACGTGTAAGTTAACCATTGGTTCCCCAAAATCAATTCTAATTGGGTACCGCACTATTGGAAATGCCAATTAACGTTCATATACCAGACATTTTCTCACTTTCATCCACTCTTTTCTACACACACACACACACACACACACATATATATATATATATATATATATATATCATCGCTGATTCAATTTCACATAATTTTGAAATGGACACCTCGAATCCGGCAGAGTCAACTGCGGTTGAATCGCCGTACTCGGCGCTGCTCACGGCGGCGTCACTGATACCAATTCCTCACTATTTATTGGGGATTTCGTTGATCGGAGCTGTAATTCTGTACAATTTCCTCGAGATTCATTTCTTTCAGGACTTATTCAGCGGATTCAGGGGACAACCGGTGGTTCTGACCTTCGATCCTCACTCTCAACTCTACCGCGACGTCGTTTCCAAGTGTAGAACACTCCACGGCAGGTAAATGTAGAAATTGTCACAAAGCGGAACAAAATCGAGAGAGTTGACTATCAGTTCGACGTTGATGAAAAATTGTCGATTTCTTTTTTTCTCATGTTTTCGTTTTTTTTTTGTGCGGTCGAATATAGGTACTTGTCGACTCCATGGTTACCGAGTCCGCATCTCCAGACTCTATTTCTGCATTTTTTCGGAAATTCGCCAGTTGTCAATTATAGAAGGTGAGATTTTGGTCAAGATAAAATTTTGATTGGGTGCATTTGAGTATCTGGAATTGTTGATATATTGCAATCTACTGATTTGATGCACTGGTTCAGACAGATTTTTATGACCTCTGATGGTGGAACCTTAGCTTTAGATTGGGTCGAGAATGCCAAAGGTAACAAAGCTTTTGCCCTCTCCTTTTTTGTCCAGCTTTGAGGATAATGACTCGTAAACTACATCTCATCTACGTTTGCATCGATAATATCTTTTTATCATCCACGACATAAGCTAGAATACAGAGTCGAGGATTTGAATAATTTTATGTTTCTGATACCTCCTTTAAATGATCTTCTAGATGTTATATTGAAATGAAAAAAGGAAATTAGAAAAGGTTTGTGTGATGAGAAAAATAAAAGTAAATACAAGCCATTCGGGCTAGTTAATGCTTCAACTGTATCCAATTCAAATTTTGTACTATTTGGTTTGCCTTTTCGAGTCATATACGTTTTGTTGATAAGTTGTTGTTGACCTGGCCTTGAAAATATCATTAACCTGGTAAACTGCTGATACACATTCCACAAATTTTGGATGAAATGGTGTATTCGACTTCTGATAGTTTTAACTATTTTTTTCCACTTTCTTTTTAGTTAAGAAACAAGCCTTTCAGACGAATGATGCACTACAACGAGATGACAAGAATCCCATCATAATCATCATTCCTGGCTTAACAAGTGAATCTAATACTCCTGTAAGTTATCTAGATCATTTGGCCATCCTTTTATATTGTGTTAGTATGTTTCCAGTCACAAAACAATAGTACTCATATCCTTCATGGTGTAATGTATGAACTAGACTGTAACTCGTCCTTCTGGATTAGAAACAGATAAAATTTCAAATGTTGGTTTTTCGCTGCTTTCGCTATTGCCTCTCTTCCCAGGAGCAGTTATGTAGCTAGATGTGCTTTTTTCTTTTTTCGATGAGATTTTTTTCTTAAATTTTTTACGTGCATAAATTTGAAGACAAGTGAAATGCTACAACAATCTTGGTTTCATTGAAGTCAATGAGAAGTTCTACTCAAATGTGCGAGTATTTTTTAACAGCGTTTATACTCTAAGCAGAAAACACTATGATATTCATCATGAAATGCTCGACCGCATTTCTTTTGGGAACTATGTATCTGTTTTAGTCTTAGAATATTGTTTTGTTGTGGGCCTATGGCATATGTTCTTCGAGTATATTCAATAAGACAAACCATAGAGAATGAAAAACTATGAGTGTATTATTACTTAAGTCTTGAATATTATCGGAGATGTTCATTAAAAAAAATATAGCTAGTGGATTATTGTGATTTTGTGTTCTTTTACTGTTATGTCTAGTTGATTCCACTCCAGTCAGGTTTTCGGGTTTCGGTTTCGTTTTCGGTTTTCAGTTTTTCGGTTTCCTTATTTTCGATACATTCAAGGTGAACACATGTAGTTACTATATAGATATGTTATGTGGTAACTCGAGAATGGCAATCAGTGGCATATTGCCTTATTATTCCCACTTCCTCCTTCCTCCTTATTCTCACCAAGGCCATTGACTAATTGTCGCTATGAGGGATTTTTCTGCCTTTCTTGTTTATTCCATAGCATCACTGGAATATTTATGTGCATCTCTTACCAAAAAGAATTAAGTCATTTATGGTGATATACTCGACCAACTCCAATCCTATGGAAATGTGGTGAAGTAGCTAAGTTTTATAACTCTTGAATGCTATCAGTGAACTATTTCCTTGTTCTTGTGCCCTTATGCCGGTTAGTGTGATTTCGCCAAATTACTATCGTATGCAAATATTTCCACATTTAAGTCTTATCATTGCTACTGTTGTTCCTGATTTGTAAACTCTATACACAGTATGTCAAACATCTGGCTTTTAACATGGCTAATCGTGGCTGGAATGTCGTTGTGAGCAATCACAGAGGACTTGGAGGTGTATCAATTACGGTGCGTAAAACTTAGCTGAAATTATTGCATTTGAAATATTGTTTTATTCTTTTTTTTTTTTGATGTATACTCCAATGTACACTACACTAACAGCAGCACGGAGTTTGTACAGTATCAGTACTTCAAATTTTCGTTAATGATGATTACCTCTTAACAGTCTGATTGCTTCTATAATGGTGGATGGACGGAGGATGTAAGAAAAGTGATTGACCATCTTCACTGCCAATTTCCACAAGCTCCTCTACTTGCTGTTGGCACTAGCATCGGTGCTAATATTCTGGTACAAGAGTTTGTCTGCCATTTATTAGACTTTCCCTATAAGTCCTACGTAGTATGATTGTTCTAGTTTTACTTATGATGAGCTCTAATACCACATCGCCAAAATCACTCAAATCAACTGGCCCTTTCTGATATTTTCTAAATTTCTGGGATCGGAAATGGAATATATACTAGATTCCGATTTCCGATTCAATTTTAATTTTCCGAAAATTCTGGGTTTTCTTATTCGAATATTACATCAATAGTATCGAATTGGAATTTTCAAATTCTGCCGATTTCGATCCAAACTTTTTCGAATTTAGAAAAAAATAAATATATTTCATTCTAATTTCCGAAATTTTGATTTTCAATTATTCTGAAGCAGAATGAATATGAATCTTGTTACTGCATAGGCTCAAACTGGAAAGTCATATTCATATCATTTTGTCAATACTTTTTTCAGGTTAAATATCTTGCCGAGGATGGAATAAATACTCCTATAACTGGAGCTGCAGCAATCTGTTCTCCTTGGGACCTTTTGGTTGGTATCTTTATATCTTGTTACCTTTCACTATAATTTGTATATTCTTGCTTTCTTTTTTCCCCCCATTTTCTCATCTTTGTTCAGAAGACATTATCTTGATTCATACCCAAGAGTCTCGAGTTAAATAATCTATTCGTGTCTTATATCCATTTGTGAGAAGGAAGGGTCGAACCCTTGTTCAGTAATTTCATTTTTATTGCATTGTATTATAGATTGCTTAGCTACTCTAAATTGGATTTCTCGTTCATCATTTCCAGATTTGCGACAGATTTATGAACCGTAGACTTGTACAGAAATTTTACAACAAAGCTATAGCCATCGGCTTGAAGGACTACGCTCATTTGTACGTCTTCATCACCTAGTTGTTCTGTTTTCTTGAAATCACACGTCATTATGTTTTAACGAAACTTTTCCTATATTGCTAAGGTTCAAACATTTTATTGTTCTCTTGCATTTCCCAAAGTTAGCAGACAACTTGATCGAATATTGAAATTTGTAGGCACGAGGCTGTCCTCTCTCGTCTTACAAATTGGGAAGGCGTTAAAAAGGTATCTCAAGTTTTTAAATTTCTTGTGACTAATACACACACACACACACACACACACACACATATATATATATATATATATAATATATATATATATATATATATATATATATATATATATAGATATATGTATGGTGTATGATTGTGGGGGGTCTCGATCTTTTGGGGCGTTGTGTGAGGTGGAGATGGGGCGACTTATGATATATCGAACCCGTTTTGTTTTTTATTTTTATTTTTAAATTTTTATGAATATTATAATTATA